AAACAAAGTCGACTGATGACATTCCATCCAATAATTAGGTGAGTGTTCCCTGGCGGAATAATATCTGGTACGACCGCATAAGTAATATCCAAACTCAACGTCGGCATGACAATGATTAAATTACAAACACCAATAGCATAAACAATTTGGGTGCCAAATCCCGAGAAAGCACGGACCCTGTTTTGATTATCGCATCCAGAGCGCACTATTTTCGAACAATTTCGCGGCCACATTTAAAACCTTCTTGGATTTTTCATGGCTTACCTCTCGTTTTTCCCCTAACTTCGAGGCATGTCATCGATTTCCAAAACACGTTTTAATTTTTCAAAGCCTGCCTGCTTTAGCGATCATTAAATTATCGCTGACGTTTAATTCATCGTTTAATTTCGTAGCGTCTTAACTACTCACGTTAAGTTGAATGTTGATGTTGACGCTTGCGTACTTGAGCCAACTGCTACGGGAAGGTTGGGCGTTGGCATTTCCTGTGAATGTGACGATGACATCATCGCCATCTTTGTTTGATTCGCCAATTCAGCACTTTGCCACTTCAGTTTTTGCCACTGCACTGTCCCTTTCGAAAGTTCAGAAATAGACTTGACACTAGGTGACACATTATCTCCGTTCGAATCTGTTGTAAGATTCAGCGCGGCACCGTTTGTGAAATTGTCTGCCGCCATTTTCACACTAATTCGTATTGCTTTTGCAACACTGGACACGGAACTATCCCACTTCTGATGTTAACTTAAGAGATGGCGTAAGGGTTTCAACCCGAATAAAACTTTTCCCAACAACCAAAGCTCTGATCTATTTGACCACCGATTACAACACTGCCTTTCGGCTCTTCGATCTATATCGTACTGCCGTTCGTTCTTGAGTAGCTGGAACGCCATGCCGCTCGTCCGTCCTGACTCAGCATACGTGACTCTTGGCGGCCATAGAAAACATATCGCTAACATATATATAAAGCATGGCTTCATTTTACAAGGTTGAACAATTTTGAAGGGTGTGTTTCAAAATTTAATACGATTTTACGGAGATGTTACATATTCCATACTTACAGATACTGTTGCATAGTTAAATCTAAAAGAAAAACGCTCAAAGTATGTGTGATGTAAAGTCGGTAACATCCGTCGCCAACATCTAATCCAATGCATAGAAATCTATAAGCAAACAAACAATCTTAACCGTGACTCATGTCTTTACCTTTCAACAATATTATAATATAGGAAGAAGGATTTGACGGTGCTTTTGTCTAAACCGTCCTTTGGAAACTGTATCTTATGAATCGAACAAACCTTCAATTAGGTTAGGACAAACACTGTCATATTTTTTGGTAATTCAACTTCGTCTTCAGTTTATTGAATTTCAATCAATTAAAGACGTTTTCCATTTTCTCATACAAATGAAACGAACTACTTTTGCTACTTTTACGTTAGGAAAGAAACAATTATTTTTTTTATTTATATGTTAATTTATGAATGCTTTAAAAGATTGGACATTTAAAACACATATGTTTAATCTATTTTTGTGTATGTGTCCTAATCTTGGATACTAGTTTTAGTGTATGAACTGTCAAATCTTTATTATTATTTACTTTTAAAACTAATTCAGCTTCTGCTGAACCTGATAACTACGCTAAGGCAACGTTGTGAAAAAGCAATCCTTTGCCTTAGGTTCCGATCGGAAACCACATAGCACGTCTGCGTATCCTATGATGTTTTGGGATAGTCCAATTCCCAAATTTATTTTATTCTATAGACAGGAACTTCCCTACTATTCTCCAAGTACTTAGGATAATTGCCTTTTGCAGACCAGTATCTTTAATATAATCTTGGAAATGTTTTGTCACAATTCCCTCCACAGACATAACAATTGTTATCATTTTGTTGTTATTCAATATCTACATTCATTTAAGTTCAATTAGTCGATCTTGATATGTCGAAGGTTTTCGCTGCTCCTTTTGTATTGGATTCTCTGTTCCTATTTTGCCTTTTTTGTTTATAATTGCAAGATCTGACGTGCTCGGATTTGTTTTTGTTGGCATATCCCAATCTATGATCTTTATTGGTTTTCTATAAGAGTTTAGGGATGTAAATAACCCTTACAGAGGACGGCTATCGCGGCGGCGATTATCTTCCATGTACTGGTTTTCCTTTCCAGTCTCGTATTAAATGTTTAGCTTCAGTAGCTTCAAATGTAGATTAAGTTACTTTGGAGTGAGTAATGGTTATTTTGAGAATGCTGCAGCAATCTTTTTAACTCATAAGTGATGATATGCAATAGGCCTCGACCACACATCGTGGAATTTGGTTGAAATATCTGAATTTTATTATCAGTCGCCATGTTTGCACCAATGAACACTTCAAACGAAAAAGCTAATTTTTTTTAATTAATTCCAATATTTCGAAGTTGTACCAGCGGTTTTCTATATCTTTTCACCAGATATTTTTTATTTTCTAAATTATTATTAATATTGTTATGATTGTTATCTAAGAGAGACACAAAAGCTAGGCGCGAACAAGAATAAAAGTCTTTGTTCCAAATTTAATTGACGATCGAATGGACGTACTCGAAAATACAGTTAAATCGGATTAGCGTTCTGACATTCACCAAAACTCGCAAAATTAAAGCCGGTCGTTTTATTTTTGTTTCTCCTGGGAAACCCGCTCCATTGCCAAGGATTTGAGTGTGTCATAAAGCGGATTTAGTATGCAGCTGGCAACGTACCAATTGGGTCGTACGTATATTTTTCCCATAATCCTAATCCTCATCTCGCTTCAATTTTTCTTATCACGTCGATCCTCGCGATGCAGCGTTTTCTTTTGCCTCTAACTTTGGCGCAACAAACTCCGTGGACAAACACTTGGTACCCTCGACCGCAGACGATGGAAATTCCAGTGGCGCACGTCTGTCTGCGGACCTTGCCGCATCCTCTCGTTATAATCAGCGAAAATGGCGGCGTTTTGCGTATCTTCGATGTCATGGTACTTTTACTGCTCGTCCCGAACGTCATTACGGACTTGTTGGTCGTTTTTCCCTTCATTTCTATCGTGTACTGTTTATCTTGAAATCGTCGCAAAGCGTTTAAAATTTCCTCTATGTCTCGAGAATGCTTCATCTCATCGATCGTCGGCCCAACTGGTGTAGGCTCGGATATGGGCGGGGTTCCCTCCTTAGCATCTCTTTCTAAAGCTAGGGAACCCGAAAACTTTGTATTCAGTATTAACTTGGATCTGTCCGGATGGAGCGGCCTTAGTTTCGAATCCAGATAGACGAACCTTCCTCTGATGTTGGCCTCAATTGTTTCGATTGATTGGCCATCCTCTTCGTACATGTTTCACATTACCCGTGGAAATGAAACCCCGTTGGTGGTCGATATCATGGCTATTAGGGGACGTGGGTGTTGGGGGTGATTTAATTTTGCCCGTCAGCCACATTTTCAAGTTTGACTTTGACATATGGACGCAATTAGGCAATCCGAAGACCTGTCAAATGAAATTCGATATGGCGTCCCGCGGCAAACAAATAAAGTAAATAACGTTTCTTTAGTTCTTTTATAGGCAAAGCTGTTTGATTTTTAGTAAATGACCTTATTTTGTGTGTTGAAAGTGTTTAGGTGTTTTCTAAACTATAAAATCTTATTAATTTTTGTTTTTAAAATGTATTTTGCTTTTCTCAGCTCTTGGTACTGTGTAATAAAACATTCGTTTTCATTGGTGTGGTTTAAGGTCATAAAATATGAAAAAGGTTGAAAATGCCTACAATTTGTGGTTGGTTGTGGAAATCGATGAAGGTACGAGTTTTGGAAAAGAGAAATCTACCGAAAAGGACTTAACGACTCTAAAATTGGAACTGCTTAGTTTTGTAGAGAAATAGAATAGAAAAATACAACAGATATGAACAAATGGAAATATGATACCGGCTTTGAATATGGCATGGTTAATTTGTTAATATTTCAAAGCATATTCCCGTTACGAGTATATAAAGTTATAAAAATTGAATCCAGATTTAAGATATAATTTTTAAATTAGTATTTTTTAAACACCTATTTTAAATAACTAACCAAAATTATTTATCTAAAATATAATTAATATCACAATGATGTTTGTTTTTTTAAATTTGAAACATTACACACAAGTTGTAATGATATGTCAAGCAACTGTGGAACACTGCATTAATGAGAGGTAGAAGTAATAAACAAAACTTCTGTTTTCATAAAAAAACATTTGAAGAAATATATTTGAAATCAGGTTGGTTACAAGACCAAATTACATTGGGAACAGTTTCTAAATTTAGGCATTTTGTTCCACATGTTTCTTGCTCACAATGAATGAATGAACTAGTTAAATGAAAAACCCTGTATAGATGTTAAAAAGAAAGCAGTATTATTATTCTTATTGTGATTCTAATTTGCAGCACTCCATTATCACAGAGATGTTAGTTCGGAGGGCTAAAAATATAGTTCTTTAAGCTTCCCGCTAAAGTGCTATGTTCTAAGCGAGACTCACAATATAGTATTTTAGAAGCTTATTTTAATTGTCTAATCCGGTGAAAACATTGTAACCAAAGGTAAACCGCAATTCCCGATAATTGCTTTTAGAGTTATAATTTTTCGAAATTCCTCTGTAATTAATATGAATTATGAATTATTCAAAATTTCTCTGTTATTAGTTGTAATTTTTCAGAATGGGCTGTGTAATTTCTTTTCTAATTATAATTTGTTGGAATTCATATATATAGTTGAAATTCTTCAAAATTTCTTCACTGTACTTGCTTTTTATACTTAAAATTTATTATCATACCAAAATTCATTTTAATATTTTCTTGCCATACCTATGGTATTCTTTGTAATTCCTCTGCATTTCCTTCATACTTTACTCCATAATTCCTGCCCGGTTTACCTGTTTATTTTTTTCGTAAAAATTGTTTCATTTTCCTCCATGATTCGACAAGCCAGTTAGTATTATTAAAAAATTAAAATTTCATTTTTAATTTTTCAGTTCGTAGTGACAATGAAGGTGGCGAGGTAAGAAGTCGGGGTCGTAACCCACGGCGTGACGACCCACGTAGACATACGTTGGGGGCAGGCGGAGCCGAACAGCATTATCTGGCAGCCATGGCACAAGGCGGTCCTCTATCCAGAACCATGGACCTAGAGGTAACTTTAAAGATAACTAAAAACAGAAAGTAATGGCGTTGATGGAAGTATTAAATATAGTTATATAGACCTGTCACGCTGGGGGAGACTTATTTGGTAATAATAATAAAATAATATTCTTGGTATTTTAACGCCGGCTCCCTTACGACCTCCATTTGTTCTACTGATCTTCTGCCATTGACCTTGCCCTTGATAACAAAGTCTGAGGATCATAATTTCCATCAGCAATGAAGTATTCTTGGTATTGCAATTTCTTCTTCCCTTGCAGTTGCCATTAGCCTTCAAAGGTTTGCGCATCATGCCTCTCATCTTGCCTTGGCCAAAAGTGCGATGCTGAGACTTACCAAAATATGGAGAAGCTCATACATAACTAAAAACTCCAAAATGAATCTGGCCCCAATGGTGGTCATTCCAATCTTCTCAAAAGTCTCAAAATCGTGTTCACTTAAATCTAAAGACCGCAAATATATTGATTCCTTGGCAGCGTGGTTCTCAGAATTCTGTAGACCGCGAGGATACTGGAAGAGTTAACTTTAACCACCTATCATCATTATGCACGAAGAAAGTGTTCCAATAGTTAGGGAAAAACTCAAATAAAGAGAAGTAGAGGCTGATCGCCTTTGAGATGGTCTCATTAAATCAAACAAGTCACGTATCTTTTGACCTTGTGGAAGATCAAGAAATATAGAATGAGGAATAGAGTCATGCCAAAGATATCACGTAGCAAATGACTAAGTAAACGAGCAGAGAGAGAGAAAACCAAAATAATGAAAATTGAAAATAAGAAATTGCAATTGCATTCTGTGTGAGATTTCCACCTATGTTCTGTTTATATCGCACCATAAATTTGTCAATTAAAAGGCTCCAATTTCGCAGCTGGTATACAAATACGATCTGAGTCGTGATGCAGCTGATCATACAAGACCATTCTTCGATTAATGAGTTAGATATGGACAAGAAATAATCACTGCATGTGAAAAAAAATGTGAAAAAAGTGAAAAAACAGATATATTGTAATGGCATAAAATCTAGGAATAAGTTTATGTCGGTACTAACGGCAGGGGCACACATAGTACCTAATTAAGTCACTAGTGTTGATTATTTCGATTGTGCAATGGACACTAAGGGTAGAGACACAAAAAGTAACCTAAGCATACTGAGGGCAACAACATGCGACAGTTCAACAACACGACAGGTCATAATATGGTGAAGGGCAGAGACATACATAGTACCTAATTCAATCGCTAGTGCTGATTATTTAGATCGTGGACAATATGGGCAGAGACATAGGAAGTATCCTGTTGCAAATAATCACACCGACACTGAAGTGCAGCAACGCGCCATTATGCAATAAATACAACAGGTTATAATATGCTGAAGGGCAGAGACACACATCATAAGATTGGTACTAACAGTATAAAGTCAGGCTATAATATACTAAAGGTCAGAGACACGCGATAGTAGCCTCGACTTTCAACCAACAAAGTTACAACGTTTAAAATAATTCAAAGAAAGAACACATGTTGACAAAACTGTTTCGTGAACTGTTTTAGCCAAGAGAGCGTGTTTCTATTGCATGAAGTGGATCAAGGGGTTCATTAAAACAGAGAGACTGTTTTTACAACACCATTGATTTCCACACTTAGAAGTTAAACTAATCCAAATTTACCGAGTACAATTGGTACTAAAAATTGGAAACTATTCGACGCACTCGTCGGGAGCCCGTGGCCGTCTCCCCTCACGGCATTCTCACAAAAGCGCCCACTTCCCCGCAATGTTGCCACTACACTTTTTTTTAAACCACTTACCATTTCGTAAGCCACAACTAAACAAAAATATAAGAAAGTCATACAATAAAATGTATTATTAAATCCATTTTTATTACTAAAAACTATTGTGTTAATCAGGCTTTGCTGTTTTTTTGCACACGAAAATATTGTAAGCAAGAAGACACACCCTCTTTGATAAATTTGTAAAGATATCTTGCACTTGCATATGTTGTCGATTGGGTTGTTGTCAGGACTATTACTTGGCCAATGATTTAGACAATACCGTTGCCTTGTTGGAAAATCTAATTATTTTCAGGGTAAAGCTGTTCCACACTGGGCATCATAATGTTGAGCAATATTTCGGCATAAGTCTAACCAATAAATCCTTCCTTAATCTGCAATATTCCCAATGAAATTCTTCGGTCTACATTTACACTAAAATCGTCTACAACTATGGGCAGAACACATATAGTACCTATTTCAATCACTAGTGCTGATTATTCCGATCGTGCAATGGACACCAAGGGCAGAGACACACGAAGTATCCAGTGGCAAATAAGCCCACTGGCACTGAAGAGCAACAACATGCGACAGTGCAATAAACAACAGGTCGTAATATGCTTTTTGTAATAAACAAGTTAGGCCCTAATATACGGAAGGGCGATAGTAACAAGTAACAACGTTTAAAATATTTCAAACAGAGAACACACTATATTTAACTAAATTCCTTGGGAATATTTTATAACTTAAAAATGAAACCGATCAATAAATAAATCATTTGGTACTTCGGTAATTTAATTTTTTGTGAACACCTCTATTGTCGGCCGAGCTTAATGAACGCGTCCTTAGCAGCTATCGGCCAACATAAGACCCGCCGCCGGTAGAATTTCCGAATGCGTTTGGAACTAAAAGCTCCCACTGTTGACGTAAACTGGATAACGAACTTATTTTGTTGTAACGTAGTTACTCGGAAATGGCCGACAGTTTCCGCATTCTGCCTACGGCCCGAAACGGTTTGTTTATTTCGCTCGCTCTCGCTAGTCAGCTAATTGGGCACCGAATTGGTTTAAATTTTTGTCATCCATTGACGATGATTAACGAACTCGATCTCTGCCAATTTGAAACCGTAGCTATTTCGGCACCCGACTAATGCGGATGCTCGTGCACTAATTAAAAATTTGATAACAATATGTCGTTATCGTTTTCCTTTCGGCAACAGAGCAGAAGTGTCAAAAAAAATTAAATTTCGTTACATTATCATCAAAAGCTCAAAAATGGTATTAATAATACTGTTTTACCAGAAAAAAAAGGAATGAAATAAGCACATTTCATTGCTTTTTTTCATTGGTCATGACATCAATGCTCGTATGGATTTTCCCATAAGCTAGTAGCCACACAAGCAGCTCAAGATTTTCATTGATGTAATATTAGTTACAGCTTTTAGTAGAGACTAATGATTATTTTTCGATAAGAAAATCTTTGGTAACATTTTATTTCTTAAAAAATTAGTAATTACCGTGTATTTTTTTTTTATTTATGCAGTGCATCGCATTTAAGATGATTAAGACACACTTACATTTTAGCCATCCAAATAAATCCAGATTTGAAGTTTTGCACAATGATACAAGTTGATGGTTCGCATTTTTTAAGAGAGTCAAATTAAATTTAAATTTTAAGCGCAACCTACAGCGAATCCACAAACAGGGTTAATTTTTGATATTTTGCTTCGCCTTAAATATATCGAAAAAAGTTGTTTGGAAAAGTTGTTCCGAATGTTATTCTAAATTCACATACCGAATTTTATGATCAAGTTCGCATTTTTAGTTTTTCGAATATTTTGATCAGTACACAAAATTATTATCCATAAATAAGTAAAATTAGTAACACTAACACAAAAGAATAATTATTATATTTTAAGAGAACAATAATTTTTAATAGGTGACTAATAAAATTTAAGAAAATGATTAAAGCAATAATTTTCATAATATAAATGTCTGACTACTCCATGTATTCGAATATATTTTTCAATTCCGTCAACAGGATTGGCCGGCTTGTCGTATTCTATCACAAATTTCTGGACCTTGTTTCATAAATTTTATTTTTGATCACTCCCCAAAAAAAATTAAAATAAAAAAAAATCCAGTCAATTTTTGCTTTTGTCATGCAACTGGAAATAAATACCTACCCTGTCGCTCATTGAGAGGGAAATTTTCTGTAGCATCCAATAATTACTAATTGAAAAAGTAAACTATACGACCAGCGTTTAATGATTCATTAAAGTAAATATGAACTATAACTGTATGTGAATTCGCAATAAAATCTAAATTTCCGTATTTTAAACGATCTGAACTATCAAGTTGTATGACAAACGCAAAACTCAAATCTGTATTTATTTATATAAATATAACAAAAAGTGGCACTAGTGCAGCTGAAATTAAGAACCGCATCCGACAGGGAAAACATGCAACAAAGCAGTTAAATGGAATACTGTGGAGTACCCAAATTTGACCAGAAACTAAAATTAGGATTTATAAGACCATTGTAGACAGTATTACAACCTAAGGGGCCGAAGTATGAGAAATAACTGATTATTTACGTAAAAGATTATTGGCAATGGAAGTGGACTACTGGAGACGCTGTTGTGGACTAACACTGCGACACAAAATAAGTAACAATGAGATAAAACAAAGAATGAAAATAGACACTATCGAAGCCAGAAGTTTAAAATGGTACGGCCACGTATATCGAATGCCGGATGATAGATGGCCAAAAAAAATATTGAATTGGGTTCCTCCAGAAAAAAGGAAAAGATTACAAAAAAGAAACACATGGGAAGACGGTATAAGAAATGCAATGACCCAAAGAAATCTCCAAAAAGAGGACTGGAGAGACAGAAAGCGTTGGCGAGTAGGATGCGTGAAACGACTTTAAGTTGTATTAAAATCGCAAATATATATATGTTAACTTAAGAGATGAGGTAAGGGTTTCAACCCTATACGGAATAAAACTCTCCCCAAAAACCATAGCACTGTTCTATTTGACCACCTATTACAACATTGCCTTTCCGCTCTTCGGTCTATATCGTACTGCCGTTCGTTCTTGCGTAGCTGGAACGACATGCCGCTCGTGGGTCCTGACTCAGCATACGTGACTCTTGGCGGCCATAGAAAACATATCGCTAACACGGCCATCCTGCTCTGAAAGCGTCCTCGCGCTATTTCTAAAATTTTA